ATCCAGAATGCAAGTTAAAACATGTCATCTTGATTCAACAATAGCAGATCCTGGTTTGAAGGGGTGAAGGATGGATAAGACCATTATGATAACTTAGACGCAAGCTTTGCAGGATTGGTCCCCAGCCACACTTACTCTTAGAATGACCAGAGTTCTCCATCCCATCAGCATTTAAATGGAGAAAAAGGCTACCATCAAAATGACAAGATGGAAAAAAATTTAGACTGCATTAAGAATAATTTCAATTATCTGTTTCTCCAGGAAAGACTTCATAGTGGCTCCTAGTAACACTGAGTATACAATAACATTCAGTCTAAGGGACAAATGAATTTTGGTCAAGGCCGTGTTACCATACTGTATAGCCAGGCAGCTCTCACTATTGGGTTTGGGAAGACTAAATGCAGCTTCCTGCCCCAAAAAAAAAAAATTGTGAAAAATGATGGAGAAACATGCAGAAGGCAAGTCATCTCGAACTCCCTTCCCTTCCCTTGTTCAACAAAAACTGATTCGTTGAAGATTATCATGACAGTGAAGTGTCAAAATAGCTTCCTAAGTTCTAGCTTTAAGCATTTTGAAATTTCATACCCCCGTGCTTTAGAAGAGAATGGTCCCTTCTAACCAAAACAACATTAATATTTTTTATTTTTTGGTAATTGAAACATTTATGATAAAAAAGTAGGTAGAAGATAATAATATAGCTGAGGTTCTCAGATAATACGCAAAGTCAGACTAGTGCTGCTCAAGTAAACTAGACATGCTGGGAAAAAAATGGCAAACAACTAGTTTCACATTATTTATTTCAATACTTTAGCTAAAGATAACATGGAGGGTCTATTTCCTTTTATGTGGCAGGAGGTCATTATTGTATATCCTCAGAGATTCTGATATTGCAGGAAATAAAACTTAATTAAACAAGGGACAATTATCAACCAAAATTTTTTTAAAAAAGAAAAATCAACAATATTGAGAATTAAAATGTGAAGAATAATAATAAAAAGACTAACATACTCATGAATCAATACGGAATATTTTTTACGGCTATTTAGAGAGTACTAAGAATGAGAATAGCAAAACAGTTTGATTTTTACTTTTCTCTTGTTATATAATTCAATAACGATGAGATTGGCACAATCAATAAAATTTAAGATCTTATTTATAATTTAATCTAAAAACCTCCGATTCTTACTAAAATACGTCATCCAATGTATGTAAGTAAATGCTACAGGCAAAACAAGGCCAAGATACGAAATTAATTATTCTATTGGAACG